CGCCTGTAGTCCCAGCTACTTGGGAGGCTGAGGCAGGAGAATGGCGTGAACCCAGGAGGTGGAGGTTGCAGTGAGTCAAGATCACGTCACTGCACTCCAGCCTGGGCGACACAACAAGACTCCGCCTCAAAAAAAAAAAGGCCAGGTGCAGTGGCTCACACCTGTAATCCTAGCACTTTGGGAGGCTGTGGTGGGTGGATCACAAGGTCATGAGATCGAGACCCTCCTGGCCAATATGGTGAAACCCCGTCTCTACTAAAAATACAAAAATTAGCTGGGTGTGGTGGCACACGCCTGTAATCCCAGCATCTCGGGAGGCTGAGGCAGGAGAATCACTTGAACCCGGGAGTCCGAGGTTGCAGTGAGCCGAGGTCGTGCCACTGCACTCCAGCCTGGCGACAGAGCCAGACTCCATCTCAAAGGAAATCACTGAACAACAAAGGCCCGTTAAATGCTTGTAATCAGCACTTTGGGAAGGCAAGGCAGGTGGATCACCTGAGGTCAGGCAATAGAGACCAGCCTGATGACTGACATGGTGAAACCCCATCTCCACTAAAAATACAAAATTAGCCGAGGGTGGTGGCATATGTCTGTAATCCCAGCTCCTTGGGTGGCTAAGGCAGGAGAATCGCTTGAACCCGGGAGACAGAGGTTGCAGTGAGCTGAGACTGCGCCACTACACTCCAGCCTGGGCAACAAGAGCGAAACTGTCTCTTGAGCAACAAAACAAAAAAACATTTTTCACTTAAGCAGCGAGCGTCACCTTTGGTTAGTATCAGATGAAGGCAGCCACATTAAGTCAGGGGGAAGGGAGAGCCAAGAGGCGATAAAGCAGGCTGGAAAGTTCTGAAAAAGAACACAGGCTACGATTACTGGCACCAACAGGTTAACAGCCTGCTAAGCGTTAGAAGGAATCATTGCTAGAGGAATCGCAAGCTTGTTGTACAAATAAGTAAATAAAAATCTTGGACAGGCCCCTAAAGCTGCACCCAACAGGAAGTGGAGTGTGAAAGTCGGCCAGCCCCCAGGCAGGATGCACCTGACACCCACTTCTGAGGAGACCAGAGAGGATGAGATTTGAGGAAGAACTTCCCAGAGGGCAGGGCGTTCCTCCGGAGAGCAGAGTCAGGGCTTACGCAGGAAATGTCACCCCCGGCCATGACAAGGGCAGGGGTCTTAACAAGGTCCCCCGCGAGTGGGATTTCATCCCTGCTAGAGACCAGCAACTTCTGTTTCATTCTTTCTTTTCCCCAAATGGGAGTTCTTACTGCAGCTACTGTCCCTGCTTCACCTCTGAATGGGCATTGGGGGTGGGGAATCCCGGAGGCACCACGCTGGGCCGATGGAGGGAACTTGCACGGCCCAGAAAAACTGGGCTGAGGAGGATGCAGGGATCGCGGAGGGTTCTGGGGGCGAGGCACACACAAGTTGGTGCCCAACAAACCTTTTCTCTTCCTTTCGGGCCCACAGGAAACCATTTGGCACCTCCTCTGGAAAGAGGGCATGGCCAGGCCCTTGAGATCTGGCTGTTGAGGCAGAGCTAGCACACGTGACCCACGCGGTGAGGTCTGCTCCCCGCTTCTGCAGCCATCTGCGGTGGAGACTGAGTGTACACAGGCAGTGCCACCTAAAGGGAACTCCGCTGCCTCTATGTGCTACTGAGGCAGGGGCGACTGAGCCGGAGACTGGAGAAATGTGTCCGTCCCCACAGACAGCCTGGCTTAACTGTCCGTGGCTGTCTCCTGCCATGGAGGAGCACACTGGAGTGGCCTGTGTGGTGGACCAGAGCTTCCACCCACACTGTGTTCTGTCTCCTTTCCTAGAACACAACTGGACGACGTTTCCCGCCTCCGTGCAAAATGAAAGTGGACATAAGGGGCGCCACTTCCACACCCGGCTCATGGAAGCTCCCAGATGGTCACGGCCCTCCATGCTGCCCCCAACTTCAGGCTGGATGGAGACAGACGGCTCAGAGTGCTCTGTCTCTGATGCCTGCACTGGGGCTGCCCTGCCAGCCCATTCCCCTGCCCAGTATTATGGAAGCAAAAAAGTTCTATGGTGTTTGAGCCATTGTAGCTTTTCGGGTCTATTTATTACAGAACTAGCATAGCCCTAATACAGTCATTGCTACGTGACCATAACACATGTATTCTATAATTGCACATAATTTTATTCACTGAAGGGATGTCCTTTACCTTCAAGATTCTAAATTTTCAGAAATGCAACATTCAAGGTTAAAGTTGCGGCTAGACCAAGGCTAAACCATGGCGAGGTAGTTGCTTGCGCCGGAGAGTGTGGGTGTGAACAGCTGGAGCTCAGTGGTTCCTGGCGACTCAGGGACCACCTGTATTCCATATCCGGCTTCCCACCCACGCACACGCAGTATGACCTGGGTTTCCCCTTTATACAGTGGAATGCTAAGTGCCTACACCCTAGCCCAGGTCAGCCAACTATGGCCTGTGGGCACCATCCCGTCTGCAGCCTGTTTTTGTACAGCCCTTGAGCGAAGAATGTTGTTGACAGTTTTAAAAACAGAGAACATGCGACAGTCTGTACGCGGCCTGAAAAGCCTAAAACTTTACTATCTGCGCCTGCCTCATCGGATTGCTGGGAGGATTACAAAGACTTGATTAGGCCAGTGCCCGGCTCGAAGTTAGCATGCCACACAAAATAATACGTACAGTACAGCTATTCACATCTCCAAAAAGCAATTGTCCCACATCCAAATTCTGCATTTTGTCCAGCTGATGTCTCTCCTTCCCTCCAAAAAAATAAAAAAATAAATAAATAAAAACATGAAGAGCTGCATCTTGATCATCATGGTCACAGACACTCTTCAGTTAAAAAGTTGCTGGTAGTCTGAGTTCACTTACTTGGGAGTAAGGACTAAGGAGGGGAAAGCAAAGATACCTGACAGCAGCAGCAGAAAGCCTGCAACACGGCCGCTCTGCTCAGTGTTCTCCGTGGAGAAAGACCGAAACATTTAAAAATGAGAACGAGACTTTAAGTAGATAGTATGCAATGGAAAACTGAGCCGGCAACAGTACTTAACGCTGGTTTTCTCAATAAAATCATTCTGCTGTGTAAATGCGCTTCTAATGGGGATCTGTTATAAGTCTCAGGCAGCCAACAGGAAAGCTGTCCTTTCAAAATCTGATTAGGTGGATAATGTTTGCAAACGTGACGCCTGGCAAAACCAGTCTGATTCTAAGGTAAACTCACTTTGGACAGAACTGATGTCTCGCTGAGACAGCTTTTCAAAGCAAGTCTGCAAAAACCGGACTCCCGGGGATGGTGCGTGCGTGTAGGGGAGGGAAATTCCAGGGTTTAATATATCAAGACGACACACACGCTGCACACTCCTTAGAAAGTGACGACGCACAGTCCTGTGCGTTACAGGTATGGAGAAACACCACCATACAGTCGACTGACTTTGTTTAACCTATAACCTTTTTTCCTCCCACATAATAGGTAGTAACATTACACAGAATCAGTGCTCTGGAGACATTTTGGACACATCGTATACAGCGCGGCCATTCAAATCAACGGCAACAGAACGCACGAAGAACCTGGTTTTCTTTCAAAGCATGAGCAGTTCTCATTTTACAACATGTGTAACTTAACATAATGCAAAAAGTGCAATCTTTGCATGACAACCAGATAATTCTCAAAGGTTACTAGTGAGCTGATAAAATGAACGTTTGGCAAGGAGGTCATGGTTTACAGGTAGGCTGTCCGCTCACCAATGCTCAGAAAAATTCAGCAGAACATACTTTTCATATTTAGATCCGAAGAGGTGAGACACATTCTACTCAAGTCATGGCTGGGCTTTCTGTCCTGAAACGAAATTGGGCAGGCCATTTGCGTGGTTTCTCTGGATAAGTTCCATTTATTAATCATTGTACAAAAAAATCTTGGCATTCATTTGAAGAGAAAAGAAGTTGCTATATCCAAATATTTAACATTTTAACATAGTGAAAGTTCGACTTTTGTAACAGGGCTTTTTAAAATGGAGAAAAGTTTTGGAAAATTTTTAAAAAGAAACTTATGATTTATTAGAGTACAGGATCCAAAACACGTTTTTTAGAAAAATATAAAGTGCCCAAATACCAACTTACACAGGTGATACAGGCTTCCTGGAGCCCCGTGAAGCATTCATGAAGAAAGACATTTAAAAACAGTCTAGGTACATATTTACAGCTGGGTCAGTAAAGGTAAAACCATCTTTCTTGGCTTTGATGTTTCTAAGAAAAAAGGAAATCAATCAAACCAGAAAACCAACAATTGCAACTCTCAGCATGCTCAGTTTCTTATTAATGCATCTCATTCATATTAATTCCATATTACCGAACTTTCCCCTTTAAATGAGAGTAGTGTACAATCCTCCCAACCTCGGCGGGTCAGGCGCTGTGAGTGGTCACATTTTCAGATGCAGGTTCAAATCCTTTGACTTTGGATTTGACTGATGAGGAACGTGGACAGTGGATAATAGCTAATTCAGGATGGAGGCGCCAGGGGCCAAATCCCCATCTCTTTCTAGTAACTGCTTAAAGCCTTCCCTTGCTATGAAGTGGTCTCAGGTGGCTTTCCAAACCTCAGTCACCCCAGGGTTTCCAAAGGGTAAACAAGCAGCAGGCATTCAACGTGGGTGAGAATACTGCATGCAGAGGGAAAGACAGGTGCACAGACAGGCCCCTAATGCCCCATTCATTAGAGCAACTGCATCATTTTAAACGCTGAGAGCAAAGTAACTAGGTCCTAACTTCAGAAGTTAGCTTCCACTGATTAATGACGAGATTAGCTCACTTGAGAACCGGCAGGCCGAGAGTCGGGGGAGCTCCGGAGCTGCACGAAGGCGTGCAGTTACTCTGGGCTCAGTTACTAAGAACTTCGGAAAGGAGCCAGTGCCATCTGAGCACACAGTCAGGCTTTCCCAAAAGACGCCACAACAGGCTTCATCCTGCTGCCTTCAGGACCCTGGCGGCTTGGAAAAGCAGATTCCAACACGCACATCTCCTTTCGCGCAAGTCCAACACTCTTCAAATCAAAGACATTCTCTCTCATTCTAACCTGCCACATTCAAACAGGCCTTGAAGTGACTCTAAGGAATAGCAAGAGGTGTGGAACCACTTTTTTTCCCTTCAAAACCTTTTTTTTTTTTTTTAAGGTTCATGATTTTTTTTTTTTTTCTGATTACAAAAGCAAAATCTCATTTTTTGGTCTTTGGAGACCATGGAGTATGACTTCTAAGAGCAAACATTTAACATCAGATTTGTATGTCTCACTACAAAAAGAACCCATCACTGATGTAAGACCTACTCATGATATTGAAGTAGATTTTTAAAATTAAAAAATAAAAGTAGTCATTTAAAAGGAATTGTGGATGAGTATGGAAAAATCCATTCACAAAGTTCACTATTTGCATTTTCTCAAAGAATTTTATAGAAATAGAAAACTAATGATTTATAGAGATGTGCATAAACTCAAGAGAGGAATATGGAAGGGAAAACTGTGTTATATTCCCATTTAAATTTTAAAAAAAAAGATAAAACACTTGAAATCTGTGTTTCACATATTAGAAAAAAATAAATTCAAATGATTCTAATTACCATTAGCTTGTTAATGTCTCCATCTCTAAGATGCTGCCAAGATAGCACACAACTTTACCTCTGAATATGCAACTAAATTCAGGGTAAAAAGACACACAGTCCTCACTCGGGACCGAACATGTTCCACAGAGAAATCAGAAGGAAATTATTGCAAATGCATAACCCCATCTGTCCAGCCAAGGAAATGTTCTGAGACAAATGCAGACAGGCGGGGGAATGGAGTGAATACAAAGAATGATTACAGGAGCGTCGACTGTGAGACCTCATGAAGACAGAATGTCACAAACTGTCACCACAGGACAAGCATACAAGCCATGCCACTGACACAGTGCCTTTCAGATTAATTCACTAGTGTAGGCGGAGAGCAACATTGTCTTTGCAGCTGGGGAAGAGCACACGGTATTTAAACTTAGTAGGAGGCAACCAGCACTACTGGTGGAGTGGCTTTCCTGGTGCAGCAGGTCCCGAGGGCTCCGTGGAGGCGTCTTCTTCCGGAGTCCCGTTCTCTTGGAAGATAGCAGCAGCAGCAGCAAAGGTGCAATGTCCTCTCTAGACTTTACTCAACTATGTTCTCTTTCTTTGCACTGTAAATATTTTGCACCGTTTCATAGACGAACTCCAGATCTTCTGGATACCGGATCTCCAGCTCTGCGTTTGGGATGTAGTGAGTGCCAGTAAACTCTGAGAAATAGCGTCCCACATCAGGGTGTGAGATTTCTTGAGGCTCCACGTTATACTCCAAGTTTTCTGTTGGTAAAGAGGCACACGGGCATTCTCATTACAATGTCCACTGCTGCCACGCCTTTCCTCCAGAGAACCTCCCATCACCCCTTCTAGGTGGCATTTTTGAGGGAAGACTGAAGAC